ATAACCTGTAATGTGGGGTCTGATGTAAACCTGTAATGTGGGGTCTGATGTAAACCTGTAATGTGGGGTCTGATGTAAACCTGTAATGTGGGGTCTGATGATAACCTGTAATGTGGGGTCTGATGTAGGAATAACCTGTAATGTGGGGCCTGATGTAGGAATAACCTGTAATGTGGGGTCCAATGTAGGAATAACCTGTAATGTGGGGTCTGATGTAAACCTGTAGGAATGACCCCACAATGTAGGACCCCCACAATGTAGGAATAAAACCTGTTATGTGGGGTCTGATGTGAGAATATAACCTGTAATGTGGGGTTCTGATGTAGGAATATAACCTGTAATGTGGGGTTCTGATGTAGTAGGAATAACCTGTAATGTGGGGTCTGATGTAGGAATATAACCTGTTATGTGGGGTCTGATGTAGGAATAACCTGTAATGTGGGGTCTGATGTAGGAATAACCTGTAATGTGGGGTCCAATGTAGAGATATAACCTGTAATGTGGAGTCCAATGTATATAACCTGTAATGTGGGGTCCAATGTAGGGATATAACCTGTAATGTGGGTAATGTGGGGTCTGATGTAAACCTGCAATGTGGGGTTCTCGTGTACGAATAACCAGTGATGCGACCTGCATCACAAATAACCTTTAATGTAGGAACAAGTTTTACGAATAACCTGAGACTCAGAACCTGTTATGTAGGACTCTACACCACGTATAACCTTTAATGTAGGGTAACCTTTAATAATGTTTAATGTGATGGAATTAACATCGCTTCAGTAACATGAAGCGAGGAGGGTTAGAGAAACATGTTCTGAAACATGTTAATGAACCTGTGACGAACATGTTGCTGGTACATGTACAGATGAAGCACATGTACAAATGATTCAGCTCAATGTTCTCGAACTGATCAAGATATTTCAAACAACGAACTCTGATATTTGTACATTTTGTGTTTACAGTATAATACTTTTGTACGATGGTGTTTTCTAAACTGTGGTATTTATACAGCGATATTCATCACTGAGGAATGTTAAGAAACAGGTATCATTATATTAGCATGGACACCCGAGCATGTATAATTCTTAGGCGTACCACGAAAATTTCAACAAATTTAAGCACCACCTGCAATAAATTGAGCAATAGAAGAGATTTTATTATCCATCTGCAATAAATTCCATGATCATTTACATGACATTTCACACCAAAGAATAATCAAGCCAAGTATNCATGTACGAATAACCAGTGACGCGACCTGTATCACAAATAACCTTTAATGTAGGAACACGTTTTACGAATAACCTTAGACTCAGAACCTGTTATGTAGAACTCTACATCACGTATAACCTTTAATGTATGGCCTTTTTTACGAACAACCAATAGTGAAGAATAACGTCGCGTAAACATAACATGCAAAACAGGAATCAAAAAAAATGAGATTCGGCAACAGGTTCATCAACATGCTATGAGACTCGCATCGGCGTGGACATGTGGTGGAAGCAACATCGCTTCATTAACATGAAGCGAGGAGGGTTAGTGAAACATGTTCTGAAACATGTTAATGAACCTGTGACGAACATGTTGCTGGTACATGTACAGATGAAGCACATGTACAAATGATTCAGCTCAATGTTCTCGAACTGATCAAGATATTTCAAACAACGAACTCTGATATTTGTACATTTTGTGTTTACAGTATAATACTTTTGTACGATGGTGTTTTCTAAACTGTGGTATTTATACAGCGATATTCATCACTGAGGAATGTTAAGAAACAGGTATCATTATATTAGCATGGACACCCGAGCATGTATAATTCTTAGGCGTACCACGAAAATTTCAACAAATTTAAGCACCACCTGCAATAAATTGAGCAATAGAAGAGATTTTATTATCCATCTGCAATAAATTCCATGATCATTTACATGACATTTCACACCAAAGAATAATCAAGCCAACTATATCAACAAAATATATTCACGAGCCAGAGACCAGTAAATGAGCTGATTACCCAAGAGTACATATTTAAATCACGCATGTTTATCTCGCACACAAACGTATATTGCACGTACTAAATATGACAAACTAAGTCATTAGGTTTATAGATAACCCGCAGATATGAATGCCGAGAGACGCTACCTGGAATTAGATAAATACATAATTACGGGTTAATTACGTTTAAAAAGAATAAGAAGAGAATAGACGCAACGCTGCATGACGCTTGATATTTTTAGATCCCACATTGAACGATTTTTTGTTATCCACACGGAACGATCATTTAAAAACTCCACATTTTCCACATGGACAATTTTTTGAATTTCCACATTTTTCACATGGAACGACTTTTTTATAAGTCTTCACATATCGTTGTTTGTGTTTATAAGTCTTCACACCCAAACACAACGATTTTTTTCCTATCTCCACATGGAACAATTTTGTAAACTCCACATGGAACGAATTTTTTTTTCAAGTCTCAACATTTAACTTTTGGAACGATTTTGTCAACTCCACATGGAAGGAACTAATATTGCACATGGCACCACATTTTACTATAGCAACAATTTTATAAACACCACATGGAAGGAACTTTTTTTAAGTCTCCACATTTTACTTTTGGAACGATTTTGTTAACTCCACATGGAAGGAACTAATATTGCACATGGCAAAGGGCTACCTGCACCGTGCTGACTATGAGGAAGGGCAGAATTGCCATGGGCATACGCAATATGTTGAGCAGCGTCACCGATACAAAGACTTTGTCCGCCGTGAGCATGTGGGTGTGATCGGGGTCTATCAGCACATAGGTCATGAACATCATGAACGAGACCTGCAACATATGTCATGAACATCATGAACGAGACCTGCAACATATGTCATGAACATCATGAACGAGACCTGCAACATATGTGAACATCATGAACGAGACCTGCAACATATGTCATGAACATCATGAACGAGACCTGCAACATATGTCATTCAATTCAGAATACAATTTTACTCTGATAAATAGTATTTTCCATTTTAATTCAAGGCAAAATTCAACAGTTTTTGTTCCACAAAAATTTTGAAGTAGTGATCTTTTAATTCTAGACCGGAGCGATATCTTAGAGGTAGCAACAATCATCGGCACGGCAACAACAGATCAAGATTGCGCCCTAGCAACAAGGAACGAAACCTGAACATCCAATGTAGCCAATATTTAGAACATCTTGAGCCAATATGTAGTATTGGCTCAAGAGTATTGGTTCAAAAGTATTGGCTCAAGAGTATTGGCCCAATGGCTTTTCACTCATCAAGACCCAGATGTAGTATTGGCTCAAGAGTAGCATTACATCAATAGTTTTTTCATTCATCAAGACCTCAAGACTTGGCTCGCAAGTATTGGCTGACCAGGAAGGGTGTGCAGGTGAAGACAAAGGAGGTGACGGCGTTGAGGTAGGCCGCCCTCTTCAGGACGTCTATTTCCTTCTGCCGGATCTCCAGGACCTGGTTCTCGAAGGACGGCTCCCACGCGTACAGCTTCAGCACCTGCAACAGTACACGCAGTCGTCTTATGTACTATATTGCATCAATATAAGCTTTAAATTAATAAATATGTTTTATTATAGCATTTTTAACACATAAGAAAGCAACTGCTTTATCCTTTAGAAGCAACTGCTTTATCCTTTATCACATGAGAGAGCAGCTGCTTTATCCTTTAGAAGCAGCTGCTTCATCCTTTATCACATAAGAGAGCAGCTGCTCTATCCTTTAAAAGCAGCTGTTTTATCCTTTATCACATAAGAAAGCAACTCCGTTATCCGTTTTAAATATCCTTTATCACACAATGTATACAGGAAAAACAATGCCATAAAACAAAGTATTGATCAGTGCAGTCGAGTTGACACTTCAATCCCCTAGCTGCCAGACGGCTCAGGCGGAATTCTCTATAATTTTCCGACTAGTCTAAGAATGTTTATTTTAACGTTTACCAAAGTCACGCTCGAGGGCTTATGCTTGTACATTGACTCTATGCATAAGTTTCAAATGAATGTTAACTTTTAACTTAGCTTTTTGGAAGCAGCGAGGCTATGCGTAAGGTTACCTTCATAAGAATATAAGTAACTATGTATAAGTTTCATATGACTGGTAATTTTCATACTAGGACCCAGCTAATAGGAAGCAGCGAGGCTTAGCGCAAGGTTTACCTTTGTAAGAACATATATAACTGCCTATATTTATAACATTCATATGAATTGTAATTTTCAGACTAAAACTTAGCTATTAGGAAGCTAGTGAGACACGGCGTAGGTTTACCTTCATGCCGTTGAGTATCTCATTCATCATAGATTTATTTACCTTCATGCCGTTGAGTATCTCATTCATCATAGATTTATTTACCTTCATGCCGTTGAGTATCTCATTCATCATAGATTTATTTACCTTCATGCCGTTGAGTATCTCATTCATCATAGATTCATTTACCTTCATGCCGTTGAGTATTTCATTCATCATCTTGACGCGCTTGTCCTTGAACTTCATCTGCTGGATCTGCAGCTTCTTGACCATGTTCGCGATCACCCCATTGATGGGGATGAGCAGGATCAGTACCAGCAACCCCGCCAGCACACTCGCGCCTGGGGGCATGGGGTGAGGGGGAAAGATGTGAGGGATGGGGATGAAGATGGGGATGAGGGGGAAAGATGTGAGGGATGGGGATGAAGATGGGGATGAGGGGGAATGATGAGAGGGATGGGGATGAGGGGGATGATGTGAGGGATGGGACGGGACGTGGCTGATGGAAATGATGTAAGGGGAGCAAGAGGGAATGCTGTGGGGTAGGCTGAAGGGAATGACGTAGGGGTAATGGAGGGAATCATTTGGGGAGAACTGAAGAAAAATGTAGTACTAATAGAATACTAAGTCTAAGCACGCTACTTACAGCATGTTGAGGTATGTGGTGAGGTATACTCACCCAAGATGTTCCAGAGGAAGTAGAGTGAGAGGAATATCTGCAGTGGCGCGGACCACAGCATGTTGAGGTATGTGGTGAGGTATACTCACCCAAGATGTTCCAGAGGAAGTAGAGTGAGAGGAATATCTGCAGGGGCGCGGACCACAGCATGTTGAGGTATGTGGTGAGGTATACTCACCCAAGATGTTCCAGAGGAAGTAGAGTGAGAGGAATATCTGCAGTGGCGCGGACCACAGCATGTTGAGGTATGTGGTGAGGTATACTCACCCAAGATGTTCCAGAGGAAGTAGAGTGAGAGGAATATCTGCAGGGGCGCGGACCACAGCATGTTGAGGTATGTGGTGAGGTATACTCACCCAAGATGTTCCAGAGGAAGTAGAGTGAGAGGAATATCTGCAGTGGCGCGGACCACAGCATGTTGAGGTATGTGGTGAGGT